ATCATACAAGCCATGAGAATGTCAAAGATAAATATACAAAAAAAGTCTGAAAACTCAAGAACATAACCCTCCATGCTCCGATTCGATCACTACAAGTCGAGTACTATAAATTACGACAATACAAGGTTTAAATGTCAAGGAACAAGTTACATAACGGTCATCCTCTCCATTAGCAGTCAATGACTAGAGCTAAAGTAAGTTAGGGTTCATATTTATGTACTATATATAATACAGGCACACAACTACGACTTTTCGATATTGATTCTCATCGTCCGTCCGACGATTTTAGTCTTTTCGCTGCACGGACGAATTCTGCAATAACTTGTATCTCGTCCACCTGCTGTTGTATCAAAAGAGTGCAAGACATTAGAGTTTATCCTTCTTCCGAAACATGGACTTCGTGCATTTGCTTGTGTGCGTGCACGCGAATCCTTTCTACAGAAAATTGCATTGTTAGTCCTCTATCTATTGCCCATGTAGCAAGTTGGTTGTCAACGTCTCATCATAGATAGAAGACCAGCTTACTGCTTAAGCAATAGGTCAAAAACAAATGGTGCGACTTTCCTTTTNGCAAGTTGGCCGTCAGCATTTCACCATAGATTGAAGACCAACTTGCTACTCAAGCAATAGGTTAAAGACCAATAGTGAAACTTTCCCTTTTTTCTTTTGGTGGTTGGTGATGAGGGAGGGGCAGGGCTGGGTAGGGTAGGGGTGTGGTTAAGAGAGGAACCTGTGAAGAAAAATGTCGTTGCACTGCTTTAATTAGTTGCTCCTTTGTAGGATTAGTACTTGCCTGAATATGGGAATCAAGAAATGCAAGCATTAAGCAAAATATATGACATGTCAGATGATTTGAAATGGTAAAGGAAAGAAAAATGATGAAAGGTAACATAACACTGACAAGGTTGAAGCGTCGCTGGTATCTCCACAAAGATCCGATTCCTAGTCTTGCCAAGTTCACTCGCTGATCAGCCCAATAAAGAAGCAGAAAGTCAGAAATTTTGACAAAAAAAATACTATTATGTAAAAGTCCCTACAAACAGCCAAAAATCAATGGTTTAGCATGAGTGTAATTGTAAAGAGTCACAGCTGAACTAACAATGTCCACAATGTCTCTGTAAAGCGCTACGATGACCATGTCATAGATTAAGCCATGATCTTAATTACGAGAACAATATTAAACAAACGATAGGTGAGAGCAACGTCCACTTCCCAATTTAACCTATGAAGAAGAAAATGGATCAGCATGGTGAACTCACTCCTGTTAATCTCTCTTTAAAAATGGCATCCTAAGTACCCTATATATGTAGAAATAGCAGGGCTATGTAGGAATTTTATTGAGACATAAACATCTATAGAATGCCTAATAAATCTTTCACTAAGTATATAGAAAGGGTAAAATGGAGCCTATTTCCCTCTTCAGTTGAAAAATGAATAGAAGATATTTACCATAAATTTGCCATGCACTTTCACAATTCAATGAAAATCAGGATATAAAAGGAATGACATTATGCCCTTGTTTGGGCCACATTCTTTTTTTCATTCTCATTCTTCTACTCATTTTCAACGACATATTTTTCAATAAAATAATATTTTCCATCATATCAATAACTTTTGTATGCACTCCTCACATTTTGTATGCAGTTCTCGGCAAGACTCGACAAAATGTTGAATAAATTTCTTTCGTATTAGTGAACACCGCTAATCAAATTTTCCTATCAAATATGCTATTACTACTCNGCTTTACAGTTGTGTTTCATGACATTTTGATTGAACCTCTCTGCAAATGCTTCGATTCATCGACTTTACTGAAGCAGCTGGAGATAATGGCCTACTATATCGAACTCGAGACTTGCTTAATTTGCCAAAGTGAAAGTCGGTAGCTGTCCAAAAATAAATTACAGAAATCTTATCAATGGGGAATTTCAAAAGAATACTTCACAGAGGTCAGAACACAAACATTAGAATTTAATTATAAGGATGTTCCAGGAAACAAGTGTTTTCACTTACAAAACCGAAGGTTTTCCTTTTCTCCAATGTCCGAACCACTGCTAGAATAATCAAAATCGTAATCATCGTCTTCTTCGTTCCCAGTTGGAGGCTCTAACACACTCAAAGCATTTCGTTGGAGCTTGACCTCAATGCCGTTCCTTAAAACCTGGTTTATTAAATATAGTTACATAATTAATAAACCATCCAAGAAAAAAAAATGAACAGGGAAAGACAAAATAACGCAAGTGGTGACAAAGAAATCTCAACAGAAGTCAACTAAATTTCTTTCAATATCTTTTTGGAGAACAGGTTAGTAAACAAACTGTAATACCGAAAAGAAGAAAAGATCCCATAGGTAACCTAGAGAGAAATTACTGAAGGCTTATCACGTAAATAGAAATGCTTCCTTGTGGCAAAGCGAGAGAGTTTCCTCAATCTTTAAATGTTATTTGTTTTTTCTATTGATCACGATTTACAAGTGAACTTTTCATCTATTTAAAAAGAGTCACGTCCTGAAATTAATCAAATGATTGTTACCAGGGCCAAAAAGAATAAATATGAAATTAAAAGACTTCTATTTAAATTGATAACTTAATGCTAAAAACTAGAATAAGATATCTGTCCAATATATTCTGAAACAAACTTTACATATTATGCTCCATGACCAAAATATGCTAAACCTTGCATGTAAATCACCTTATCATACGATATGGCAAGTTAATTTCCTTATCTTCAAATTAACCAATAAGACTAAAGAGTCATGTCATCAAATAAGCATGTCTTAACATACAACTGAAACAAGGAAATACAAGTGACATGAGCATGTTTGGCGAATCTTAAGAAAAAAAGTTATTTCCAGACATGTTGGGATGTGTAACTTTTTTCTAACTTTCAAATAAAAAAGGTTACTTATGTTGAAAATAACTCACTTTAATGTCACTTTACCATCAAAATAACATACGGAACAGATTATGACAAAAAAAAAAAAGTGATTTATTTATAAGTAAACGTTTTTAAGCACAGCCAAACATGCTATATCATCTATCGACGGTAAAATGTTAATACCAGCCAATGCCAACCGCCAAGCCCAACGGCTTTCTTGACAACACCTTGCAGGCCGACCAAAACACTCTTTGTTCTGTTGTTACCAGTCACAATGACCTTTGTATGCCTCGGAAGAACAGAAAGCTCCTCATCACCACTTTCCTCGCGAAAAGGTGAAAAAACCCGTGAAGAACATAATTCAGTCTCCAGCATTTTATAACTCTTTACCAGGACTCGTTAGCTGAACAGATCAACTACAATAAGAATGTACTTTCCTGCAATCAGTGGACCCAAAACTCTACATATCCTTTCAGCATTCCTTTTTATCAGGCAAAAATATTGAACAAGATAGTAAATTGAGAAAAAACTGACTCGTATATCAACCCAAACTGACAAAACCGACCATTCAGTTTACTGAAGGGCATATATTGCCACAATATTACTACAAGCAGAAAATCCAACCTCCAGATAAAATCCCTGAAAAGGAAAATTTTGAGGGAGAATCATAAAGACGTACAAATTAAGCTTTCAATTGCATCAATAAATAAAATTCTGAAATATGATTCTTCAAATGGGTTAAGACTGAGAATACAGGAAAGCTTTTGAAATCTGACGTTAATTTAAAGGAATTTCAAACTCAATATATTGAAAATCAATTTAATCATCTTAATACACACACAAATATTTACACATTCTCTCACACTCAGATTCATTGCCACTAAATTCTTCAAACTAGCTTCTTTAATTATATAGATTCCATAAGAAAATCATTTCTGAAAAAAGATGTCTCCATTTGCTAAATTATCAATTTATCAATATAATAGTGAATCATAATTCCAATTACACAAAATTTTCTTCAAAAATCATTTCTGAATAGTTTTTGCACATGCATTCACACGGGAAGAAAGAATCAATAAGAAAATAAGTCAAGTAATCTTTTTTACTAAACTTTCTTCTTAATATCAGAGTTCCAATTCGTAAAACTCAAATTATGTCACAAAAGCCCACTGTGTTTCAAATTACCCTTATGTGAAGCATATCACTGAACAAACACACTGAACACTCACTAAATCCTTGAATTACAGAAGCAAATAAATTTACTTAAAAACAACGAATTTGAATGCGAAAAGGCGTAATAATGAATACCTGTTGATATAAGTGTACGGACAATGGAATTAGCACTGTTTTAGAGAGATAAAACACCTAATAATGCATTGATATGCCATTGGAAAGAGAAAATTGAAGAATGAAGATCATTGGAATTTAGAGGGAGAAAGTGAGAGAGAGAGAGAGAGCATGCAGTAAATGCATATCAACTGCCATTAAAGGGATAAAAGAGAAAACGTCTTGCTTATGCTCAGTTTGCAGAGAGTGACCCCACCTGTACGGTCAATATTACCGGTAACCGGTCAATGAGGTAATGGACTCTAGTGGCTCGGCTTGAATTCAAAAGTGATGAAACACAAAAATTAGGAACAAAAGATTCTCGAAGTACACGTGTCAAAGATTGTGTTTATTATAAAAGATTTGACTAATTCCATTTTTTTATGATATCGAGGTGAAACATTTGCCAAACACTGCCTTCTTTTGATTTGTTTGTAAAGTACCGTAACTGAAACGAAAATTTCAGTTGGTGTAAAATTTTGGTTTGAAGTCCGCTCTTTCTTCGATGCAGCTGGAGCGCACGAGAAGAGAGAGTATAAGATTTCAAATATTTTGAGGGGTCCGCACTTTTACTTTCCGTTGGGGGGTGTAATCTGGTGTAGTATGCAACATGATCAGACCTGTGTTTCTTTTCTCCCTTCCGATTCTGTATAAATAATTAAAAATATTAGTATAAAAAACAAAACTTTAGAAGTTCTCTTAGGGCAACGTTTGACGACATAACTGCTGTATGCTCCGTATTTTTAAGGTTTTTACATAATTTTCAAACTCAGCATTAATTTAACAAATGTTTATAAAAAGTCGAGATATGATCAAATCAATTATTATTTATATATTTCGTGAAATTTACAAATATTATTCACTTATCCATCTTTTGTTTCTATTTATATGCAAACAAAGTAGTTTATAAACACTCCTTGAACAAGCTTCAATTCTTGATTTTGCTAGTCGATCGTCCGATTTTTGATAGCCTTACCAAACTAGACAAAATAATTTGATTGAAATAAAAATATCAATTAAGTTGTTCAATTGTAACAAAACAAAGTTTGTGTTTCTTTGAAAGAGATTATTTGAAGTGAAGTTTCTTATTTTTGAAGAATATGTGATCAAAAATTAAGAAAAAAGTATGAGTTCCAAGTAAAATAGCAAATATGTGATAAGCTATTAGACAAATAGAGGATCCATTTTGATGATGAGAAAGAGAAGACGAGAAGACAGAGATCCTACTTCTTCACACGCCTTCTCTAGCACACCCCCTCCTCAAAGAAAAATGACTTCTGTGATTCAAGGAAGACTTTTTGAAGAAAGATATTAGATTCCATTTTTATTTTAAAAAATAATTTTCAAATAAATCGTGACAAATAAACACTGACCTAATTGAAAATGAGTTACGGTTTCAACAGAGCCTGCTATCTAATAATATGGAAGTTGACATTTATCAAATTACAATTTAAATTAATTATAGGCTACGAGATGTGTGTGAATAATAATAATAATAATAATAATAATAATAATAATTGATTATTATTATTATTACGAGATGTGCACAAAAAATATGTTTGATCAAAATTGATAATCATTTAATCCCAAACCAAACATGCATCACTCCAAGAGGTTAATACTAGAAAAATAAAAAATGCACAAAAGGAATACAAATTAGTCATTTTTTTGTTCCTCGATGTTGTGCTATGAAGCTCGACCATTTTAAATTTTTTTTTTTTTTACAATTTTATATATATAAAAAAATACCATCCCAACAGAAAAATCTGAACACATTGTAATTGTAAATTAATAAAAGAGAAAAGAACAGAACACTTTAATTCTTGAGCACAGCCTCGATAGCTTCAAAGAAAAGAGGGGCCATTTCAGGGCGTGGAGTTTTGATTGCACACTTGAGACCGGGAGTACCTACAACTGTTGTAAGCTCGATTAAGAAGGGAATTCCTTGAGGAATCTTACCCGAAACGTACAGCACGTTTTGATTTGCATTCTTGCGTTTGGCGACAAAGAACATATTCGATGCTGCCAACCGATCTAAAGTTGCTTCTATGCTATTTACGACAACTGATGGGAAGTCTTTAGTAACCTCGTTGGTATCAGGTAATGATTTCCACATCTACAGTGTTGACAAGTTAGAAACCATCAATTTCCATGAATTATCATGTACAGGGCTACATGACAAGAACAGTACGGTAGAAAATACTCCTAGTGTAAGTTAATAACCTACAAAGTTCTCTTCAATAATTTAGATCATATAAGTTTGCTCATCATCTTAACCATATGGGGCAACAGGCATGTTTGGTACGCACGACTAGATAGGAGGGTAAAGATTAAGAGAATCATGTGCCAAAATGTGTCAATTGTCTAGTAGATTCCAGGTCAATTATGTGTACCTAAAACGGCAATGATGTACTAAACACAGATTAAGAAAACTACTTACCTCAAGAAAAGTGGAACGCTCCATCCTTCCGTCCTCAGTAAAGAATACCAGCAACGACATTTTATCCTTGAAGTACAATACAGGTTGCTGATTATTTTTCACAGCAACTTGCAGAAGCGTGCTCGGCGGACCAGGAGAAACATTCTTGAACAAAACCATGGGCAGAAGAGTGCTGAAAGATGCCCCAGGTTGCAATGTGGAAATCTGCTGGAAAACCATGTATCAATTTGAAAGGGAGAAAAGGCAGTCATACCATCTGTTCATTACTATTAATAATTACCTGCAGTGGTCCACCTGCAGCGAGACCAAACGTGTTCTTGTTAAACTGAATCATGAAACCGTCAAGGGGAGTCTGAGAGTTGTTTTTAAATAACATGCTGTAAAATATCTGGCCATCTTTTCGCATCAGCAGTGCACTGATTTGTAAACCTTGACCAGAAGATGCTGGTACTAGAACTGGCAAAGGAGGTCTGCAATAGAAATACGTCTGTGAGTGATTCCCATTAAACAAATCCCACAAGGAAGGCTGAACAGAATAACAATTTTCAGATGTATAATGGATAATTGAAAACTATCTTGAAAGCGAAGCACAAGACTGGCTCCAAATTTACATACCCAGACGGGGATTCAGGCTGATCAACAGATACAATAGCATTGCTGTCATTATCCATGCCCATCAGGTCAAGCAAATCTGGCATGGGTGGAGGAGCTGCGGGGGCAGTGGCTGGTTGCCTTCTGGTAGTTGGAGGTGATGCAGCAGTATCAGATGCATGGGCAGGTGATTCAGAATACCCTTCTTCAGTTCCATCAGGATAATCATCTTCTTCAACTCTCTGCACTGTCTTTACACGTGTTACGAATGCATCAGCAGGTTTGTGAAAGACAGAGGACAATGTAGCAACATTGGCAAGAAGCTCATCCAAGAGAGAAGGATCGAATTGATTTGAATCGTCACCAATGAGAGGCTTTTCTGCTAAAACAACATCCTTTGCTGCCTGAGAGATAAAATAAATCTGATTAGATTCATATAAACACAGAGACAAAAGTTTAGACCAAACTATGCCTTTACCCTCCAAAACAGCCACCTTAACTAGGCATGATCCCCAGTAGATAGGATACACATACCATAGAGACTAGTGATCATGCCACTAAAACAAACCAGAAAACAGTGGCATTGTGACAAATCATCTTCATAATGCACAAGGAATAAATGAAATGGAATTTGTTGAAAAGAAAACCTTGCAAAAAGCATCATAAGATAGGTATCACCAATCCTTTTCTTGACTCTATGTTTTCAATGTTGCTGTTTTTTCTTATCCCTGCTAATCGCTAGTGTGACCTTCAGTAACAGGAAAAGCTTCTTTTCACACCCCAAAATGTACTAGAAAATGGAAAACTAACTGAGTGACGGCATAGCAATTTATAAAGCACAAACTCAAACAAAAGTGAAATACAAACCTCAGGATCAGTTGAGAGGAGACGCCAGTATATGTAAGCACGGTCTCGTAAATCTGGGTTGTCAGTCTCCACAGTTGCATTGTTCAAAACAACCTATTATGGTGATAAAGTCAATTTAGAGAATCTACAGTGAAAAAAAAAGAGTCAAATGCTTCTAAACTGACTGGATCATTGGTACTTCCAACAAAAGGCTGGTGAGACAGTTTATCAGAACATATAGCTGAGTGGTGCCATTTTCTACTTAATGTTTTGCAAGTAATTATATTTCATAAATGCTTGCCTTCTGTTTCCACAAGACATCAAGATTTAAGAAGTGTCACTTTCATTGCAGCACTCCTTTCAAGAGAAGGGAGATCTTTGTAAATTTTATCTCCAGATCAATTTGCAGAAATATTACAGATATTATCAGGTACCATCCAGGTCCCAGAATAAACTCAATACCGTTTAGGAAAATACATCAAACCTAACACCATTAGACAATGTATACATTTCCAAGATAAGTTCCAACAAACGGAGAGGAAATCTATAAAAACATGGGGACACTAAACTCAGTAACTGTAAATGCTGAAAATAATCAAAATAGCCATCATTACTTCCAGATAAAGATCTAATAAGCTTCTCCTTGTCAATGCTTTCTGAAATAGCTCATTGGTTCTGTAAGCTTGTAAATAACATACAGGTACTGATGCAGCCAGTGAACTGTGTGCATATTCATGCATAGCATTCAAATTCATGGTCTTTTTGTCATCAAAGGTTTATAGACACGCTCAACCCTCTGCATGTTACACTTCTAATCCGATTGCACAAAGATGGGAGGATCATTATGCAAACAAACAAACTCGATCCATTCCCACATTATCCTTTTTTCCTTAGTCAAAACTCTTTGACCCAACTCATACCCATGAATTGAATCAGAGACAATAAAACATACCTGAATCATCTGCTGTGGGCCTTCAGTTGGCTTCTTAAGGAAAAGTTTGACTGTAGCTGTCAGCAGCTGCAATTGGACTTCTGGAGGTTCCTCAGGAAAAGTCTCCAGAAAGCTTTCCAGGAGCTCATCAGCATTGTCAATTCTTTCAGCATATTCACCAATGATCCAGATCATTGATGCCTGTAGAAGAAGAAATATGAGAAAATAGAAATTAATTATTATAGAATAAAACATTGAGGAAGAGAAGCAAATAACTCAAGTCTTTTTTAAATACCTTTGCCTCTGGCTCATCTAAGGTGTCTAAGCTCTCACAAAGTGTAGCAATGATGGACTCGTAGCTGATAGAGAAAGTAAATTGTTAAACTTTAAGATGTCAAAATTATTTGAACACTTCTTGGTAAAAATATTTACTGCCCTTTCAAGATCGTAACGATAAGACCCACAAAAAAGAGAATACATACGTGTTGGGATATCTCCTAAATATATCTTTAATCACTATAATAGCTTCCTGAACAACATAGTTTACTTTGATCTTGATCAATTCAAGCAAAACACTAATACACCGTTCGGCTGCCCGCTCTAACTTGATGGCACATCGTCCAATGGCCCGAACAGATTTTCTGACGAAATCTACATCTACTTCCGTAGCATACTCTTTGAACTCCAACAGGACCTGTAAGTGTAGATGAAGTGAGCAATACGATGGTTAAACATATTTGACACAAACACGAATTAAAGTCAGCTTACTTGATCTATATTCCGGTCAGAAGCAAGCTTTATCATGATTTCTAACTTTTCCATCTTCACATAAATTGGATCGTTGTACTTGCAGAAAAACACCTACGAGGGAAAAAAGACAGTTATTTGGTCAGTTTATGTCTAGATTAGAAGTACTAGTTCTGGAAAGGAGAATGAAAACTCAAGTTGAATATGCAATTAATTACCTTAACTTCATGGGCAAGGATACTGGGCCGTTTTTGTACAATTAGGTTTATATTTCGCAATGCAACATACTGAATCTCGGGTTCTGCAGAAAGCAATGTCACAAGCGGAGGGGCCATTTTCTTGCATAGATTCCGAACTACATCAGTGCTTGTGATTAGTTCCATTTGTAGAAGGATCAACTGTATAGCATTCAGCAGAAAGAAGAAAGATGACTAACTTTGAGAGTTAAAGAAACAGATTCATGGTAATATTAAAAAGGAAAAACAAAGAAAAGCAGCTACAGTTGGAAAGACTCGTCAATTATAGTCTGGAAGAAAGTTTTTAAGTGAACGGATTATCACCTTGACAGCAGAAAGAACAACTGCAGAATTTGCATGCTGCAGCCTCGGAGTGACTCGCTCTACTATATTTTCAGCTTCACGGGCATCAGCTGTTTTGTACTTGGAAAGGGCATCCAATATAAACACTTGACCCCACCTATAGTTGGTAGCATATCAATGCACATTCATTGACAAAGCCAAAAGTAAAATCATGTCAAATGAATCAAATGCAGCCACCATGGTTCAGCAACGGGAGGCATTATGAAACACTAAAAGAGCATCTTATTCACAAAATCCAAACACGAGATGGATTAACCAAAATTCATCAAATATATGATGGAAGCACATGGCCATTAATCTACAAGTTACTAGTCAATATCGGATAATCCCCACACTTTAAACTAAGCAGTTAACTCCCCGCCAACAATTAGATACTTGAATTTAACTTCATAACAAAAAATGCAAACAACAGAAGACTTTGGGATAGAATATTAGGTCTCAATCTTCAATTTTGTAATAATTCAGGTCAAGTTCTGACATCGTAAAAATGAAGGCAAGGAAATATCTTCTCAACACCAATCTCCATTGTGGTGCGCATCAAGGATTAGTACATAAACATTAGCAGTAATTGAATGTCAAGTTATAAAACTTTCATAACATGTACAGATATGGATGACAATATGCGAGTAGAACTGGGTGGTTTGTGTATGAGTTCATCCTTCAAATTAATAGCCAACAAGACATTTGCAGGCCATAACTCACTCAGTGCATTCATTTAGAGCGGTAAGAAGCTTAGTAAGTGTGTGGCTAGTAATCTCAAAGATGGGTCTGCTACTGTTCTCTTGAATCTCCGCAAGTGCTGCAACTGCGTTTGCAACAACCATTGGATTGTTATCAGATATCAAATCCTTGAGAGCTTCCAGAAAACCTCTATCTTCAACTAGCTCTGCATTTATGTCATAGAGTTTAGAGACACATATAGCAGCTGTCTTGCGAACGTATGGGTCATCGTCCTGATATAGAAGGAAATAGCATTGCTTAGTTAAAGTTTATTGGACAAAATAGTACAATATTCCAGTCATGATGAAATGAAATCGTCCAAAAGTGAAGAAAAATGCAAAAACAGGGTTGATAAGTAATAATGAAGTGACCTTGAGACACCGCTGCAATGGATCACATAAATACTCAGTAATTTTATCAACTCGAATGCAGCCCATGGTCCTCACAGCCAAAGCACGAATCAAAGGATTTGGGTCCTGTGAATCCTGCAACACGTCCATATGAATTAATCCATCAATGAACAGCCACGTTATAATAACTACAGAATACAGAATGATTAATTTCAATCACAGGTCCCAGCAAGCGTTGGTTCTGGTTAATTTATTCAGCTAACACTTGCCAAGAATTTATTGATTCGTAGGTCATCAAGCAGTTATTGGTTAGTGGGTTTACAAGAACTGATAGCCATGTATGATGTAACATAGGTTCTCTTATCAACTGTTTTTCTACAGATAAAACAGCCGGTGAGTTGAGTTGAGTTAAGTTGAGTTCCAGTTATGAGTGAACTGTATGTTTCTTGGGTGTTAATGAGAAAAGGAACCTTAAAAATTTTCCTGTGGACGTAGGAGAAGTACTCCGAACCTCATAATTTTTTTGCTGTTTTAAATCAATTGTCTCCAATTTTTTCTGTCTGTGTGGTAGAATCTGTTCCGGTGTCTTGTGTTGTGTTTTCAAACAGCAGGATATTTCCTTTAAACTGATATTTTAGCCACATGTACTGTGTAGTAAAAGCCGATTGGCCATTATGACATAAACTATCCAGAAACTATAAACAGGAACAGCAGAGAAGATAATGCAGCAAATCAAGCCTAGAATTGGAAATTAATTCTATAACAACTTAAAAGAATAAGAAGCACAGAACATGCTGATTGAAATGGGTAAGAAGAATGAAGACCAAAGCAAAGAGAATATGGTGAAGTTAGCAAGACGAAGTAACAGATTTTTTAAGACATATTGACACTAAAGGATCAGTAAAAGGTGGAAATGAAAAGGCCAAATAAAATACTGGTTCTAGAAAGTACGACAAAAGAATTGCTGTGCCCAAAACCTGCGGGGAAATAGGCCAAATTTTTTTATCGCCAGAGTCCAGAGAAGTGACTGCATCCTTTACGTTACCTCTGAATAGGATAATTTCAACTCTA